ATTCAAGAATTGATTAAAGTATTATAAAGACACATACTAGAAAGTCTTATGTATAGCCAATAAATGGGAGTAAAAAGTGACAAGGAAATGTTCATGATATGAAAAGAAGTTAAAAGAGCATTTGATCCCATTTTTGAAAAAATATTTAATTAAAGTACTAAAAATGGGAAGATAGTTATTAATTCATTCAATAATTTATTACTGAAATCCTTTTGTGTACCAAGTAATGTACTGGGCACAAGAAACGGAGCATAAACTAGATGCTCCCGGCAAAGAACAGATTAGGAAACTACCATAAATAAGTACTCAGAGAGCTATTTAACTGCAGTGTATGCAAATGTAACCACCAAAATTCTTCCTACCTCTAAATACTCAATGTCACTCCTCCCATCAAAAGTAGAATCTATTTCTCCCTCCCCTTGAATTTAGCCTTGCAACTTGCTTTGACCAGTATAATGTGGCATAAGTGATGCTATGCCAGTTCCAGACTTAGATATTAAGAGGCCTGGAGGTTTCTCCTTTTGCTCAATTGCTACCCAAACTGCTATGTAAAGTAGTCCAAGCCTGTCCTGCTAGACAGGGGATGCCATGTGAAGAAAGAGGCCCTGAAGGGTGAGTGACAACAGGTAAAGATAGATGAGAACCAAGATGAAAACTAGAGTACCTCAGGAGACAACCAGCACCACAGGCCCAGAAAGGGAGTGAAGACATTTTGGAGCCTGCACCCTAAGTTGACCTGCTTTAACTGGCAGCAGATGAAATATAGACAAGTTGCCTCCACTGACCCCTTACTGAATTTCTAACTCATAGAACTATGAGCTAAAAAATAATACACATGTTGAGGTAATTTGTTATGCTGCAATAGATAACTGAGACCAAAAAATAAAAAAACAGTACCTGGAAATGGGGTGCTGATGTAACAGAAATCTAAAACTACATCAGATTTGCTTTTGGGACTTAGAGGTAGGCAGGACTTGAAAGGGCAAGGAGGAAAGCTGAAGAAACTAGAAGAGCAGTAAGGAAAATGCTACAGAAGGCTGGAAGAAGGGTAACCCACATTATATACTGGCAGAGCAATTAGCAAAACCATCACATAAAGTAATTTAGAAGATTAAAAATAAACCTAATCAATAGCTGGATCTGGCTAAGGAGATTTCCAGGTAGAATATTCAAAGTGTTACTGGCTTCTTTATAACTAAGTATGAGAAGATACAAGCAGATAAACATGAGCTAAAGCATCATTGGTTGGGCATGGTGGCTCACACCTGTAATCCCAGCACCTTGGGATGCCAAGGCAGGAGGATCGCTTGAGCCCAGGAGTTGAAGGCTAACCTGTATGTGCTTGCTTCGGCAGCACATATACTAAAATTGGAATGATACAGAGAAGATTAGCATGGCCCCTTACACAAGGATGACACTAAAAATATTTTTAAAAAGTTAAAAAAAAAAAAAAAAAAAGACTAGCCTGGGAAACAAAGCGAGACCTCATCTCTATAGAAAATAAAAAAGTTAACCAGGTGCAGTGTCGCACCCCTGTAGTCCCAGCTACTCAACAGGCTGAGGCAAGAAGATTGCTTGAGCTCAGGAGTTTGGGGCTGCAATGAGCTATGATCCAGCTGCTGCACAAAGCAAGACCCTGTCTCTCTCAATCAATCGATCAATCAATTTTTTAGCTTGCAAGCAGAATTTAAAGGAAATATTTCTAACCAGGAATTGCTGAGTTGAAAAATAACTGTTTCTCATCACAAGCCTCTTCAGATATGGCAAAAGACTGTCAAAAGAAGGGTATAAGGACAAAGATCAAATTCAGAGCACTGCCAATAAAACATGGTCTCGCAATTATCACATCAAGAACGCATCCATATTACCAAAAACCCAGTGGCTTCCATAAGATCTTTTCTTAAAATTTTAGGAAATGTTTGCATACCTTCTCAGGTAAGCTACAGGGCTTCCAAGAAACTTACAGGACCACTTGAGGTCCAAAGTACAGAGTGTCCTGTCTCAGAAAGAATTGTGGATGTGACTTTTGTCTGATGGAATGCACTTGTAATCTGAAATATAGGAAACTGACAGAGTGTTTAAAGGAGTTCCAACAGCTTGAACTAAAAAAAGTACTATTCCAAATAAAAGAGGCCTCTAAGCTTTCAAATTAACATACACAAAGCAGACTGAGTCTGCTATTCCAGTGCAAACAAGGCTCATTTCTTTTTCTTCTTGAAACAGGCTCAAAAGGTAAAGGTCCATTTCTTAAGGAAAAGTAAAAATGACTCACAGAGTGGAGCTAATAGCACAAAGGACCTAGCCAAAATATATGAAAAACAGTGAATTATGAAACCATGACCAAAAGACAGAACAAAGCCGTCATTAAGGAACATTGTCTACTCCCTGGACAAAGTTGATAATTGTTTTCAGACCAGAGACTGCTACATGATGCTTCCTATTCTTTCACGCTCCATTGGGAGTGTCTATCACGGTTAACTATCCCTGTCTCAAAATCATATATTGAGTATATGGCAGGGGTAGGGTGGAGGGGAGTTATTTGTCTTCTCAGTTCACAGGTCTCCAAATCAAGAGGATCCAAACCCAAGGAGCCTCATTCACAGCGTAACTTGATGCAGACAGATCATAAGATAATGGATTTTGAGCCTGAGGTCATAACTAGATGAGATTTCTGGGCATCCTAGGAGAGTTGGGTATGTATTATATGTTGGAGAGATATGAATTGTCTACCAGAGGAAGAACTGTGGTAGAACATCTGCAGTGATGGCTGCCAGTGATTCCTCCTATTCCTGTACACGTTACTACTCCTATCAAGAGGAGGAATCTACCTCTCCTTCCCTTAAATCTTGGCTGACATAGTGATTTTATTTGCTTTGAAAAGCCATTCAGTGGAAATGGTGCTAAGTAGTTTCAGGCCTAGGCCATAACAGGCCTAGAAACTTCTGTTTTTATTCTCTTGCTACCCTGAATCACCACATAAAGAAGTCTAGGCTATGTTTCTAGAGAGTGGACAAGAAAAAGTCCCAGCTGATGAATAAACAGACCACCTAGAGAACAAACCAGGGGTCTCAACTGAAAGCCACCACTAAGGCCTGACACATGAGTGATGCCATCTTGGATCCTCTAGCCTCATTTGAGCCACTTCAATCAACATTTTGTGAACACGAGCAAAGTTATTTCCTGCCCGAATTCCTGGCCCCAAAAAATTATAAACAAAACAGTTGTAATTTTAAGCCATTATATTTTGAGATAATTTGTTACTCAGTAATAGATAATTGATACAGGTAGTAAGTGCAACAAATGGTATAAAAGAAAAGTACTAGGTACTATCTAAAAGTCACTATTAGGAATCCTACCGTAATGTGGGAGTTGTTTACTAAATATCATTTAAAAGAGGAGAAATTGTGAAGAGGAATTTTGTTGGCTTTAAGTTCTACTTTTCTAAATTTTCCACAGTATATATATGTTTTACTTTTAAAATATCAACAAAAATGTTATTTTATTATAACTTCCTTGAGCACATTGTTGTCATCTTATTGGTCCTATTGTACTGAAATTTATTAAGTCTAAATTATATTTTCTCATGATAAAATATAGAAACATTTCAGCAAATAAAAATTTTCTATTATCTTTTGTGGTTGAAGAATGAAAAGTTCTGATTACACCAACAATCCCAGAAATAAAAAATATACATGGTTTCACAATTTCTGAAGAATTAGAATGTATTAAAAGGCAACTTAACATTATAATGTTTGTAATTTAATATCACACTGAATACTCAGGTTTATAGAATTCCTCGTGGTTATCATTGTGAACAGATGTGGATAACAAAAGATCAAGGAAAGTAAATAATACTTTGAATACAGAATTAAGAATGGAAATGATCCAAAAAGACTACAACAATAAACAAAAAACAACAAGAAAAAAATAAACAGAAATAACTGAGGAGACATACACATTTAGGGTTAAAAAGAAATCAACTACACAAAAGTCCCAGAGAAGATAAACTATCTTAATAGTATGAAAAAGCCTTGAGTTTTAGCCGATTACAAGTACATTAGCCAAGAATAAGCAAGCCACATCAGTATAAAAAATGTTAATGTAAAGTTGGGCTTCATTAATACATTTAATTAACAAATATTTACTGAGAACCTAAAATGTATCAGGTATTTTACTAGAAAAATACAGTGAACAGATCCAGGGAAGGAATAATCTTACCATATTTAGAATTAGTAAACCTGAATATAAAATATTAAGTCCATATAAAGGAAATTGTTTTAAAAATTAGAGAAATGTGAACTACAAAAGAGAAGACTTTCTAATTCAAATGTTGCACTAAAAGAAGAAAACTCTTGAAACAATTTTTTTCATTTTGTCAAAATAAATTCATTACTACTACAGGTTGAGCATTTTGATAGGCACTGGGTATAGAGTAGAGAGCAAAATAGATATCATCCTTGTCCTCACTCTGCTTATAATCTAGTAGTATCCTATTACTGGAAGACATTTGGCAGGTACCAAATAACAGTTTATCAATCATATTTATAAAAGAGATTCATGTACGTTGTGTAAGGTTGAAATAAATGATCTCCAAAGTTACTTCCAAATCTAAAATTTTATGATTATAACACCATACCATAAAAGAATATAATTATTATTCTGAAATAAAGAAACATCTAATGAATAAAATACCAAGCAAAGCAAGAAACACACACACACACACACACACACACGCACGCACACACACACACACAGGGTTTTTTATATTTCCACCTAACAAAACAACCATGTCAATTCATATGTTCAGCCTTCATGGCAAACTAGTCATCAACAAACTTCAAGCCACATTAAGACACTCTAATCTCAAATTTTTATTCCATTTTGAGTAACAAAAAATTTTTAAATCTCCTTACTCTAATAATTATTTTACTCTAGTTAAAATAATTCAAAGAAATTAATATCTATGATTTCTCTAGGATTTCTTACATCAATCAATATACCTTTCCATGGCTTTAGCTGTATAAGGCAAATGCATTTCAATACTGTGTTCATCTTCGTCTGTCTGCAGAGACATGCGTTCAAACATTCCTGTCTTCCATAGTTCTCCGTAAACTAAAGAGATTTCAAAATATATTAAAACAAATATATTAATGGATATCCTTACCCTGTGAGATTCCACCCAGTAACACAAAACTACACTCTTTGGCAAGAGTCAGAAGTACCACATTTCATTTTTATTAAAAAAAAAAAAAAGAAAGAAAGAAAGAAAGGAAGAAAAGAAAAACAAAAACAACTAGTTTTTTATGTACCAGATAAAACAACAGTATTTGTGAAGATTTACTCGTCATTTGCATATGTTACATAGTTATACTTAAAAATCTCAAATTTAATTTAATTTAATTAAATCAGCTCCTTTCATTATTACTAAAATCATCTCTGGGTTTAGGCTTTTCCTTGACTTTAATCAGTACATGCTAGCAAGAACATAATCACAATTCCTACTGAAATATGGAAAAACCACTGGTCTACTTACTCATGAATTTAGTAATATAGTTTTGGAGTTTTGTTTTGTTTTTAAATAAAATGGGTGATACAATTTCACACCTCAGTTTCTGCCCTACCAAGAACAGAAAATTCCCACTAAGAATGCTATCTTTTTCAAAGTTAAGTTCACTGGATAGATCAGAACATAAATTCACCACAGTACCATGCCAACTAAAATGATGTAGTAATACAGGCCCTTCTGAAGAACTATACTTAAAACTGAATATTGTAGAACGAGAAAAAGGTAAAATTTAAATATGTAAAAAAAACATGACATAAGAATATTTTTATCATAGACCAGAACCGACATTTTTATAACTAGAACCTTAAATGCGATTACCTATACCAAAGAAACAAACAAATGGTGGTATTACCTCTTTTCTACAAAATTATGCTGGCCAAAATTCTCCACTGGCAGGCTATCCAAAATTAAAATTTTCTGAAAACCCTAACAAGATTTTAACAGTAAAATGTGTCCCCTAAAACCATGGTAGGGAATAAGGATGGTAATACTCTAGAGCTTCAATAAGAAGGTGCATTCTAACAATAAATTGCTAATACTCTGTGATGCTGAAAACCCCAAATTATGAAAATTTAGGCTGAAAATAAGAAAAAAGAACTAATCATTTCTTTTGCAAATGAATTCTTTCATTCTACAGAAGAAATTGTTGCAGAATTTCTTGAAACAACAGCACCCTAACATACTTAAAATGTAACTTGATGAGATGGAAGGAATACACACCAAATTCATGAAGGTAGTTACTTGTGGGGAAGGCAAATTGAGTTCAGGATGAGCTTGAAAACTCTGAGTAAATTGTGGATGATGAGTACATCAGTATTTATTATATTATTCTTTATTTTAAAAATTATTCTCCCCTGCCCCACCCCCCAAAATACCATTATAAAGTCAAAAGGTTTTACTTTATACATCTACTGTGTAAGAAACAACTAAATATAATGTGACTTCTGAAACCCTAATCAAAAAAATAAATGAAAATAATAGCATGTTTAAAAATAAAAAGTATTTAAGATTTATATAGCACCTTTCTTTCAGAGCTTCACAATTATAGTCTCATTTTTTCCCCATAAAAATCACTTGAGAAGAAATAAAGGTGTTATCGCCATTATTGATTTACAGTGAGAAAAATGATATACGTAGAGGTAGACTAATATGTCTAGAATCATTCATCAAGTTGATGTGGGAACTAATTTCTTGTCTCATGGTACAATGAGTGCAAGGCATTCCCTGAATATAAATGTAACCACCACAGTATGGACACTAGTGGATCTAAGAGATTTCTATAGCTAACAGGAAAACACTAGTTGTTTTTACGGGATAGGAAAGATTTTCTTTGTTTGTTTTATGCAGATTGGTTACAATAAATTTTATTTTAAAAATTGAGATAGTACTTATGATATTAATATTTATACATCTTTTAATTAACTTACAATTCCTATTAAAAGAACTTTAGCTATTTAAAAGCTATAGTATTTCTATGTACTTACTCTTTTGGTCAATACGAAGGTCATAGAGAGGTGTCCTATATATATCCACACTGGAAAGTGCACATCGAGAGAGGGGCACATGATGAGAAGGCCCAAGGATGAAAATTCTCCGGCTAGGAGATATACAGAGAAAAACACAGAACAAATGCACTTCTACATACCCTTATTAAATAAAAGGGGAAAATATAAGTAATTCTAAAAAATTACTTGTTTTCCTTCCTGATTGATTTCATTACCTATTGTTAAGGGCTGAATTGTGTTCTTCCCAAAATTCCTATGCTGAGGTCCTAACCCCCAGAACCTCATACTATGACCCTATTTGGAGGTAAGGTCTTTAAAGAGGTGATTAAGTTAAAATGAGGCCATTAGGGTGGGGCCCTAATCCAATATGACTACTGTCCTTATAGGAAGAAGAGATACCAGGCGTGTGCCTGCATAGACAACCATGTCTGAAGAGGCACCAAGAGGGTGGCCATCTACAAGCCAAGGAGAGAGGCCTCCGGAGAAACCAATCCTGCCAGAACTTTGACATTGGACTTCTAGCTTCCAGAACTGTGAGAAAATAAACTTCTGTTGTCTGAACTGCCCAGTGTGTGGTATTTTGTTATAGCACCCTTAGCAAACTAATATATTTACTAATGATTTGCTCCTCAGTTATTTAACTTCAATTCCTTATTCCTGTCTTCATGTTAGAAGGCCTTTAAAAGAATCACGTTCAATAACTGGAAATATCAGCTATCCGTTTTTACAGTAAACCAAACCACTATGCATAAAATAATCTCTGTATTCACAACAGCTAGGATACAGAAGGTTTTCAAAGCTGTATTTTATTAACTGGATTTTAAACATTTTGGCTATTAAAATCTCAAAATTCTAACACATTCTAAAATCACCTTCTAAGATTCACCAAACTTTAATAAAATTACATAATAGCATAGAATTCTGAAAATCCATACAAAGTATCATTACAAAGAAGCATTCTGACAAAGCTATTTCCACATTTCTTTCTTGGCAGAGAAAAAAGGCATCTTGTTGAGAAGAATTCTATGTAATAAGCCTTCTCTATTCCCATTCAAGTAGAAGTCATTCTCAAAAACAAAGAAACTTGATTATGTGTTATTTGCACTGTAGTCTAAAGAAAAGAAGTGAGCTAAACTGTAGCTTAAATCTTTACAATCTCTTTATCTTGACATCAAGCGTAAAATTAATTTCCTCTCTCTCCAGCCTGGGCAAAAGAGCAAGACCCTGTCTCAAAAAAAAAAAAAAAAATTAACTTCCTCTCATTGTATCTCAAACAGCCAAACTAGCCCAAAAATCTAAATTCCAAAACTATCCATTATCTATGTTCTCTAAGATTCAAATGAATCAACCTTCCCCTACCACACACAGACAAAAAAAAAAAAAACTTACAGACTCCCAAAAAACAACAGCTATGAAAAAGAAGAAAATACATGATACGCTATGTACCTTGAAAATTAAGGATTACTGTTTGTTCAACGAATGGACAAAGACTGAGAGATGAACTAGCTGTTTCATATCAAAAATTGGTAGGCCAAGAAATGTGTGCATTAACAATGTAATTATTTTGATAAAATTCTATTACAGCTAAGAAAATTAACTGATTGTTTGCTATATGTTACTTCACACATCAGGGAGAAGGAAGAGTACATAAGAAAGTTGTGGATAAGTGATTCTCAGTTTCAAGTTCCCAAAACTCCTCAAGACATCACTAACAGCAAACATATAAGACTACCCACAGGCCATTTCTGGTCAGAAACATAACCCCTTTTTCTAACCCTCACCCTCCAATATGTTATTAGACCTCTACCATCAACTCAATAACCATTTCAGAAAAAAAATAGCTCAAGGCCAGGCGTGGTGGCTCACGCCTATAATCCTAGCACTCAGGGAGGCTGAGGCAAGAGGATCAGTTGAGGTCAGGAGTTTGAGACCAGCCTCAGCAAGAGTGAGATCTCATCTCTACGAAACATAGAAAGAAATTAGCCAGGCATGGTGGCACATGCCTGTAGTCCCAGCTACTCAGGAGGCTGAGGCAGGAGGATCACTTGAGCCCAGGAGTTTGAAGTTGCAGTGAGCTAGGCTGATACCGTGGCACTCTAACCCAGGAAACAGAGGAAGACTCTGTCTCAAAAAAAAAAGAAGAAAAGAAAAGAAAAAATAGCTCAAATCTATAGAATCCTAAATGAACAAAATTAAAGAGATATCATCACTCTAGTCTCCTACCTGAAAAGCACATAAATATCATGATAATTTTTTAAATTAAAGTCTAATGTGGAGGCCGGGCACGGTGGCTCACGCCTGTAATCCTAGCACTCTGGGAGGCCGAGGCGGGTGGATTGTTTGAGCTCAGGAGTTCGAGACCAGCCTGAGC